AGCAGTAGCAGTAGCAATAGTAGCAGCAATAAGTGTCTCGGCCCGAACGGTGTTTCTTGAGTTGGGGGCCACCTTTGCGGTGCATGGTTGCAACGGCTGCGAACTGCCCGGCGAGCTGAACTCTCACTGAAGGCAAGGAATAGGGAGGCGTACCTGCTTTTGGGGCCTTCGGGCCGGGGTATGCCTCGCTCTCCTCAAGTTTCGAGCAGCAGCAGCAGCCATGATGTCTCGACGTATACATCTCCTTCTGGAGCTAGCAGTAGCTCTGGGAACACGGATGTTGAGGTCATGCGAGCCCGAGCAGAAGCCAAAGCGGCTGCAGATGCGGCCGAGAAGCGAGCCAGACGGGCTGAGAAAGCCAGGCTTGTGGAGTGGTTTCATGGGGCGGCGCTGCTTGAAGTCTGTTTGTTCTATTGGCAGCATCAACTCTGCGATAAATTCTCTTATCGACGATCGGTGCGAGCAAGAGTGGCAGCCCAACGCTGCAACTTGGAAGACAGCGAACCCTCTGATATGCTCGCGTCAATCCTGCCAAGACTGGCGGAGGAACACGCTGCCAAGCTGCGCGCCGACTTCGCCGTGGTGGACGCCTTGCTCAAGGATGGTGTGCAGGAAAATTACAGCGAATGGATTGAGACTATTGGAAGGTTTGGAGATCCGCCGCAGCACGTCTTTCTGCAGCACATGGGCAGGATGGTCCAGACCAACCTCCGCCAGATCATGGATCCGGGATGTGCGGAGGCGCTCACCACCGCTCTTTTGGAAAAAGCGCAGAGGCGACTGTATCGGCCAAGCATGGAACTACTATTCCCTCTACTGGGTCAGGAAGGACAGCTGGATTTTCAGCAATGGTTTCTCAGTTACTCCGGCAAAGCGGACTGGACCGCGAGCTCGGCGGCAGCGGCTTCTGGAGACAGCTGAAGATGGGCCACGACGGAGTGCTGCCCTGGATTCTGATCTGGGTCGGCAGCTTCGGCCGACAAAGCTGAAGGCCACGCGCAAAGGTGCTTCGAGACGGGTACGCCGCCGACGAGGTGTACTGAGAGCGAGAGCAAGAGCCAAATGGTTCTTGCTGAGCTGGGTTTTTGCGTGGCTAGCTGAGCTGCGTAAGCTTTGTACAGTACTGCTTGTGTTTGCTGCTGCCGTATCAGTGTCCAAACACGCCCAGATTCATCATTACCCCGACACCCCCGTAAACATAGTAGGCCGCCCTGGTCCCAAGTCCAGGGGTAGACTGAACAACCATATGACCCTCCTTTTTCTGATGATATGGAGCAGCCTGTTGCTGCAGCCCTGTAGAGCTGTTCAGTCTACAGACACGAGGGTTGGAGGCTCTCCCCACCTGGATCCTCCTGGAGTCTTACAACAAGCTGCTATTAGGCTTCAAGGTTCGACGAACCATAACGGTGTTAAGCAAAGGTCAGGACGAAAACGCGCCTTCCTTAGGACGCAGAAACGGGCTGCTCGAAGCGGGGGCACCAGGTACAGAGGACGCTGGTGCAGTGCCTCCGATCTTGGGGTTGAGCATGTGCAGCGGCCGCCCAGGACGCCCACCCAGAAGCGTTCTTTGACGGGTAAGCGCTTCTCTTTTCTTTCGTGGAATGCTTCTGGTCTGACTGTTGATAGACATAGGGAACTGCAGTCTTGGCTTTTAGAACAAGAAGGCTCTCAGATTGACTGGGTTGCCATCCAGGAGACACACTGGAAGGGGCAATTTGAGTGTAACTGGGACAGGTGCACTGCTGTCCATAGCGGCAACAACAAGTCGGAGGCGGGCCTGCTGTTACTAGTCTCCAAGGACCGTTTTCCCGAGCACTGCGTGCACTATCAGGAGGTGCTTGCGGGGCGCATCCTTCATGTCAGGCTGCTTGCTGAGCCGTGTACGGATGTCATTCTAGTATACCAATACGCGTGGACCATCGCTAAGACTCGGGAAGGTAAAGAGGCTAGGTTCTAGCTAAAAGGGCTGAGCTTTGGGCTAAACTTGGTACCTTGCTGAACTCCCTGCCCCGCAGAAATCAGGTTGTCCTCTTAGGTCCTAGGTGACTTCAATTGTTGCCTTGATCCGCAAGACAGCCTGGTGGGCCGTGGTGTGCAGAGGCATCTCGCTACGCACTCCAGTGATGCGCACATGTTGCAGTCTCTTGTTGAACATCATCAACTAGTTGCGCTGAATACCTGGTCTAAGAGGGGTAAACCTGCCAGCACCTTTATTCCTGCCAACAGCACAGGGTATAGTCAAATGGACTTCGTGTTACTCAATCGCGAACAGTGTGATCAGCGGGCACGGCAGACCAAGCCGATGCTGCTGCCCTTTGTGCCAATCACTGGCATGAGGCACCTGCCCCTGCTTGGTAGCCTTTGTTTGCCGCATGCTCCCCGACAGCCTAAGCCCAATAAGTGCATGTCAAGACAGTCCGTGCACAAATTGCAATGTCAGTTTCCCGACATCCTGGAAGAGTACCAAGCCCGTATTGCGACCATTAGCAGCTCCAACCCTGAGTTGTCTGCAAAGAAGCTCATTGAGCAGGCTTGGACGGAATGTCGCCTGCAGTGTCAGCATTTGCCGGTTGGTAGGGAAGCACAGCCATCTAGTGGCGCTCCCCCCATCACTGCCCTGGTCAAACCCACAATCACTGCTCGTGGCCAATTAGGTCACGCATCCTTAAAATGCCAAAGAGAGGAGGCTTGAGATGCTACATTAGGTTGTGGCGGGCGCATGCTTAAATGCAGCGAATCCAGATGCAGCTTCGCAAAAGATGTAGGGATGCTAAGAAAGCACAAGTAAGCAACCAGCTGGCAGATGCTGCTTCACAGCCTCACTCAGGGCCTACCCAGTGTTTTCCGACTGCTCAGATGGCTTGCGCCACAGACGCCCAAGCGCAGGCTGCAACTGCGATCAGACAAAGGCATGCCCTGTAGCACTGCTGAGGCTTTACAGGAAATACGGAGGTACTTCAATGACCTGTATCATACCAGTACTGATCAGGGCCTCTCACAGTTGCAACCTTCGGTGCGGCCTGTAAGCTTCACTGTGTCGGAATTTGCCGCGGCACTCGCGGATCTGCCTTCCAATACGGCAGTGCCATCTGCTCTTCCCCCGGCATTGTTGTGGAAGTCACTGGCTTCCTGCCTGGCGCAAAAGTTGACACCTCAACTCAATGAGTGGTTGGCTGACATGACCAAGCCTCCACCATCAGAGTGGCATGTGGCCGACATCTTTCTTCTATTAAAGCCGGGAAAGAAGCCGACAGCCGCCGCGCTGCGACCCATATCGCTCCTGCATCCGGTTGCCAAAGCTCTTGCCGCATTGTTGAAGCATCGGGTTCAGCCAGCAGTAGATGCATCAGCTACCACAATACGCGTATATGCAGCAGAGATCAGCTCAGGATGCATTGGACAGAGCGTTCACGCACTGCGCGTTTGTTCAAGCCATTTTGCGCACGCTAACGCTCACGCCGCAGACTCGCAAACAAGGTCATACAGTGCTCCCGTGCCGAGGAGGAGTTACTCTAAGTGTTGGTCTGCGTAAAGCGTTTGACCTAATGCCAAGGGAGCACCTTTTGACTGCCCTTTCTAAAGCCAACGTTGGCGAAGGGCTGCGGTGGACCATTATGCAACTTCATGCTCATGCTCAGATGCAATTCAGCTACGCAAATCAAACTACGCGTATAGACACGAGCACTGGGATAAGGCAAGCTTGCGGCCTAGCCCCAACTCTTTGGAGCCTGTTTACGGCCATCATCATGCAAAAGTTGCTGGAAAAACTTACTGTAGCAATTGTTGCGTTTGCTGACGATTGGCTTTTTCAGTGGGTGGTCGCGAGCTACTGAGCTCATAGATTTCATCTTGGATGTGCTACAATCTTTTGGCATGCAGCCCAGCCTCGATAAGACAGTCGTCTTAGTACAGCTCAAAGGTAGCAGTGCAGCGCGACTTCAGCGTCAATGTGTGACCAAGCACCCAAAACTTGGCAAGAGGATCCGTGTTCGCACTCAGCAAGGCCAGGTTGAATTGCCGGTTGTGGAGAAACACACATATCTTGGGGTTAAACGTAGCTATGGACAACCAGGGGCTGCCACTGTCAAGTATCGTGTACAGCAATCCTGGAGTGTGTTCAACCGGCTCATGCCATCCCTTCGTAGTGTGGGGTTGCCTAGCCAAATGAAGCTTGCAGTGTGGCGAGCCTGTGCGTATGCTAGTCTTATGTATGGGCTGGACTGCATCATACTCCTACGATTCAACAGGTTGTGGCTAGGCAATTGCGCATAATCCTCAAAACGCATGTCGTTATCGCTCGGGAACCCGCTGAACTTCTTCTGAAACGACTAGGAGTACAAGCCCCTGCGGTTGACATAGCGTGCAGAGTCAAAGCTAGAAATTCTGAAGTGCAGGCAGGGCCCCATGACTGCTTTGCAGCCACTGCCTACGCAACAGCGTTGGCAACAGCTAGACGAGGCAGCGTCACTATCACAAGAGTACGCCTCCCTTCCCCTGTGGAAGCATAGATCAACCCATGCTGACACTCAAGCTAGGCTCTTAGAGGTTCATTCCAAGCTGCCCCGTCAAACTTGTCAACACTGTGGCCTCTCTTTTGGCACACTCAAGGCCCTGCAATCGCATGTTGCCCAAAAGCATGGAGCACAAGCAGGGGAGGTCAATCCGAGCCTGTTAAGCGTACTCAGCAGCAAATGCGCAGGGATTACATGTGTCACTCTGCAGGAGGTCTCCCCACGTGTACATTGCCACTGGAACTTTAGCTCTTGGCCTGCCTTTTGCGAGCACTTTGAACTAGGAAGGTGCGTAGCACTGAACTTGTCTTCTGGCATGGCACCAGAGACCTCTGCAACTGCACTGGAGGCCTCGGCCACACCAGTGCCGCAGGAAGAGCCCTTGCAGTGGTAACCAAGAATGATGGGCTTCCCCCAGCAGAAGCTGAAACGGTGACCACCTTGTATGCAGCTCTGCCGGCTGGGATTCGCAAGCTTTGCTCCTCTGACTGGAGTTCGCAGACAGGAAGATCAGAATACCTGCATGTTCTGCAAGCAGTGGTTAGCTCGGCAGACATACCTCACCAGACATCTTGCCGCACAGCATGCTTGTGTCAGTAAAGTGTTGGCGGCTCTGCAAAGCTGGCTCCAAGCTAGACGGCCAACTGTCTTTAGCCCCTGTCGGTGGTGCCACCAGGACTTCAAGGCGCAGCATAGTAGTCGTGCCAGGCACACGCAAGCTTGCACCACTCTTGTGCGTACGGGCATCTATTTGCTCTTGCACCGTGCTTCTCAGGAGCCCTCCCTTTGCGACGGCAATGGAGCTGACGGAGGAGAGCCGAGCGGAGCTGATGTCGGCCAAGGAGCAGGCGAGTCTCCTGCAGGGCCATCTGGGAGTGCCGCCACCATAGCATCTGCCCCGTCAGAGATCTCGGCTCCCTCGCCTCCGTCAACAGAGGGAGAGAACAAGCGGGGCCAGGAATGGGAGACCGGCAAGGGAGCGGACAAGTTCCGGAGGTCGGAGCAGGTGCAAGGAGGGGGATCTGGCTCTGGTTGGGGCTCCAAAAAGCAGAACGACTGGTGGAAGAACGCCAAGAAAGACTTCGAGGAGAAGGCCAAAGCGGAGAAGGATGTGGAGGAGATCAAGAACCTCTGCGTGAGCCTCTCCAGGTTGGTCTTACGCCACGACGACCAACAAGCAATAGATCGGACGGAGAAAGGCTTCATCATGTTTTGCCAGACGTCCCGCATGTTGTCGGTGATACCGGACCTCGTCCGAACCATCGAGGCGTGGACCAAGATGAAGGAGGAGAACCCGACGGGCCTTACTTTGCCACGGAGGTCTGCCATGCTGAAACAGCTGCTGGACCTGTGGTATGTTCGCTTGGAAGTGGTTGCGGAGACGGAAGAGAGCCTCCGGCAGGCCAGGACAATGTTGATCCTGGACCAGGCCGGCCGCATCCCGTATCTTCAGTACAACAGGCAGACGGAGCAGCTGGAGATCAAGACGGACCGCGACCCCATGGAGCTCAAGGCGGCCCTGGAGTGCATCAAGGAGCTCCAGGATCTGGTGCTCCTTCCGTTTACCACCCTCCACTTTCACGCGGCGAGGAAGCTCTCCTCGCAAATCCGAGGAGAGATTGTCCCGATGATGTTGGAGGTGGGAGTTCGCGCCCCCGAAGCAGACCGCGCCTGGAATTTATTGGCGAGGCTTTGCCACAGCGGAGCAGGCCGAGCAGTGGCAAGCAGGTGCAGCAGTTGGCAGAGGGTTTGTCAGAGCCTTACAATTAGGCAATCGGCGCAACCATCGCTATTCCAATGCTGCATTTCTTGCTCTGCTTTGGTCTTCCCTTCAATGCCCAGGGACGACGGCCTCTGAGAGCCTGCTGGGGCCCAGCTTGCGAATGATTGTAGGATGGCTCCGCCGAAGGCCTGGGATTGTTCATCTGTGGCACCACTTACCTTGGGTCTCGCTGCATGCTTCCTGGGCACAGCCACATATCCAACACGACATTGTCGAATATATGCAGTTCCTAAGACCTCGGCTGAGCCCAGCAGTTGCTGATTGCCAATGGGGGTCACGACAAGAGCTTGATGGTTGCATCAGACAGGTTGACTTAGGTAGCACCTGGCCCCTTTGGTTACCTGCTCCCCTTGACAGCCTCCATCCTCAAGCAGAGTTGTTATCGACTGTTTCCCTGCAGCACCTTGTCGATGCATGGCAACAGCACGCCGGTGCTGGCATGTTGCTAATCCAGGTGAACCGCTTCGGAAGTGGAAGTCATAGGCCTGTTAAATCACAAATGCAGGTTCACCCTGACACATACATTCTGCTTCCTGTGTTCCAGGGTGCACTGGATCAGCCCAACGCACTGGACGTCGTTTACGAGAGGTTTCGGCTCTCAGCCGCGTTGTTGCATGAAGGTCCAGCTGTGACCTCAGGGCACTATAGGGCGGTGCTTCAAGACATAGGCTGTCAGGTTATCACTGATGATTCGGTGTCTGCTAGGCTTCTGAACGAGCAATCCGACGGGCGTCATTGTCGTGCCAACTACTATGCCCTTGTTTACCGGCGTTGCCCAGTTCCCTAATTTGGGTTATAAGTGCCTGCCTCCTTCCCAGAGTAGTCTGTCCTGACACTGAGTGCAGCATCGAATGCTGTAGATATTCTGAACCAGCTCATGTTTTCTGTAGCTTCAATGGTGGTGCTCTCGCTTTTGGGGCCCTCGGGCCGGGGAGCACTACCTTAGAGGCTATACTCTTTTGGATCTTGCAACAGCTAGGATGCGCATGCGCGCCAGGATGCAGATCCTGCCCCAAAACTTGGACCGCCAAGCGAGAGACTTCTTGCTGCGTCTGGAAGAAGTAGCAGCAATGGCAGGAGCACGAGCAGGAGCTGCAACAACAGCAGCAGCAGCAGCAGCAGCAGCAGGAGCAGAGGCAGGAGCGGGAACAGGAGCACGAGCAAGGCCAAGAGCATGAGGGGGGGGGAGTAGCAGTAGCGGCAATTGGAGCAATCTCCTAGTCCTAGCCCCAACCGCGCAAGAGTTGCTATCCTCGATATCAGAGGCTTTGCACGGCTATGCCTGGAAGAGGCCTAACAAGATCCTTGGCTTGCCAGCTTACCACATCACGCTTGCTACTTCTCTTGTTGCTATACAGCTGCCGACAATACTTTTTTTGGTTCGTTTCGGTGATGACCTACATGGTGATGCTAATGCTGCATGATATTGCTACTGATGCTGACGATGATCATGATGATGATGATGAGGATGATGCGGATGATGATGATGGTGATGATGATGATGGCTATGATGAGGATGCAGATTATTACGATGATGGTGGTGATGGTGGTTGTGAACATGTTGATGCTGCTGGTTGTGGTGATGATCATGATGCTGATGGTGATCGCCATGTTGAAGTTTATGTGGCTTATGATGCTTATCGTCATGGAGTGACGGCCATAGTGCTGCGTGTGTTGTGATGATGGTGAAGTCGGTGATGACGACGACTCTGCTTCTGAGCTTTGACAATTTTGGCGTTGGGAGAAGTGGGCTGCATGTTTCCGAGCAGCCTAATTTGTCAGCGATGAAACCGATTCCCAAGCGCCATTTCTTTCAATTTATCCAGATTCCTTGACGAAACTGACCGCAAGCATACACTTGGCCCTGACTTCGAAGTCTAAAGCATCTTGAACCACAGTTCCTCAGTACTGGCCAAGGGTCTGCATTGGTGGCTGTGTCCCTTCTGACTACACCACGGCGCACATCTACAGCGAGACCAACTGCCGGGGACTTGGTGCGCAGCAAGAAGCAAGACAACCTGTCGAAATCACAAAGCTCTCCGAGTAGGATTTCAGTGCGATCTCCAGGAAGGCGTGAGCAAGCTCCCGAAAGTTGTGCAGGCATTGGGAGTTTCTTGGCTTTTCGTTTGCACCGAGGCGATGCTGACGTGACTGCCAACCTGAACACCTTCTTTATTTTCGCGATTATCACCGAAATCGCCCTTTTGATCTTGCCGATCATTCTGTCATACCTAGAAATTGCGAAGGACTGAAGCATTACATGCAGTTCCGGGTTAGCTAAGGCTTGACGCCAGGTTAGGTTATGCCTTCGTGCTAGAATCTGCAACCCCGCAACTTTTCGGCCAAGCCTAGCCTTGCAGTGAGGAATATGCAAAGATGCAGAAGGACTCCGACAGCGAAGATGGTCAGGATGTGAAGCCCTACAGCTTCCTGCAGTGGGAGGCTAAGAAGTTCCCTTATGAGTTCGGCTCTTGGGGCGGGGACAAGGCCGGGACTTTGATCCAAATCCTTTTTCTCGCCGGTAACATCTTGCAACTTTTGATAGTACGGTCACAACGGGTCTCCAGCAGGCATCTAGACCTCTGCCGACAGCCCCTGCAGGTCAATGATTTCCTTGACATGGCGATCAACTACTCCGTCGTAGCCTGCTGGGGTGTGATTTATCCCCCCATGGCCGCCATCGCGGCAATCGCTTTGTTCCTTGATTGATTCCGAGACTTCTACTTGCCATATTCGGTCCTCACACACTGAACTCTTCACTGGGCGCGACACCCATACTTCTCAATGGTCTGTCTCTCGTAGAATCCTGTCGATTGGACGATGTAGTTGCTGACTTGGTGGCAACCGTACTCTGAGTACTGGTACCGACTGTTGTCAATTTCATGCCTTCCGGTGATTCTGGTAGTGCTGGCAGCCCGAATGGAAATACATAGAAATGCAAAAACGCCGGGTTTCCGCATGGATCCAGACTATCACAGCCGTCATGACAGCAACAGGAGTAGTGAGTAGCAGCAGCATTATCATCATCAACAGCAACGCAGGGTTTCGGGATTCGGAAGCCGTATATCGGATCCCAGAGTCCGACGATCGCAAGGTTTATCCTCCTGCGGCTACGCATCTACCGGAGTCTGTATGTCACCCGGAGGCCCTTGCCCAGGGCCAGTGCTGGCCTAGGAATTTGGAGGACCACCGGATTATCAAACAGCTGGGCACAACTTTGTTCTCGCCTTTCACTCATGAACAGTGGTGTCATCCGTACGATCGTTGCTGCTGTGCGCAGTCTGTCCCACTAGCAGCACATTTTCGAGGATTGGTCGTTTGCGCATGAGCATGCTCATCGTATCTGTTTCCGGCAAGGCATAACAACCAAACTCTTTCGAGTCAGGATATGAATTCAATCAGCAGAACCCCGTACTGTTCTTCCTGCTGCCTGCTGCACGAGCAGTATGTCCTTCAACATTGCGTGGGTAGTCTGAATATCACCCGCGCCATTCTTGCGGTGATAGTGATGCAGCTGCAACTGATGTTACGGTTGCAGACTCGTTTGTTGTTTGTTTCTTTCTTGATGTTGTCTGTTTACTTTCACTGTTTGTGTCTCATGTTTTTCGGTCTGTCGCACGTCATCATCGCCGTTGGTGTTGATGGCTGCGACGATAATGATGGCTGCTGACTGCGATGGTTCGGGTGAAGACGATGCAACTTGTTCATGTTTGTTGTTAAGCTAGGTTTTGTTTGTGTTTCTTGCCAGTGCAATGCTTGATGTTTCTGGATCTTGCTTGGTCTAGGCGTTCTTGCTCGCAGCTGCACGGCTGCGACCTTGATTCATCAGTGGTACTTTCTACACTACACGTTTGGTTGTTTCTAGACACCAAACCGACTTGCGAAGTGTCTGCGATCAACTGCCGGCAACCCGGCACAACCTGCGCATCAATCTTGTCAACCTTGGCGGGAGAGCGGAAATAACGGGGAACACCAATGTGCAAGCGGTGAGACAAGTATGCCTTCCAGGAAGAACCGGCAGCAGCATGCTGTCGTATCCCGAAAGTATCAAAACCACAGTCAGAAAGAGCGTTAAACGAAGCAGCGGAAATTCCAGACTAAGCCGGATTACAGCAAGACAGCAGGCAGGCAACAACAAGCCGTAAAATGAGTATCCAGACTCAAGATCGCAAAGTATCTCCATAAAAACATCGGCCACGGTCAAGCATTATAGTTGTGCTGTAGGTGGCATGTCACTGGTAATGGTGGTCTGCATCTGAAACTGTTGAATTTCGCTCCAAAGGCTTGTCCGGATGTCATTCGTACAGGACCATTTTCCAGTGCATCAATGTCACGGCAGTCGCCTGCAATGTCGGCTTGGCTGCCCTGTTCTTCTATCCAATGCGTACGAGGCCTCGAGCTGCTGAGGGGCCAAAGCCTAGGCTCGAGAGCTCGTCGGCACGGGCATAAGAAGTTGCTGTCCCCAAGCACATCATCGTCCGAATCGGTATCAGCCTCTTCATCACCACACCACGATCACCATAATCATGACCTTTGACAAGCACTCCGCTTCTGACTGTATTGATGCCTAGCTACTTACTCACACTACCACCCACAAGAACTTCTGTGCTAGCAGACATTTTCATGACGGTATATTGGTTCTTGGCTTGGGCCGTGCTGTAATCGGAGCGAATGCTGCAATTGCAGAGTCATCGATGGAGTAGCTGTGGGGGGAATCGGATCGACTGTGCCAGGGGGTTTGGCCACCAGCTGATGTTCTTCTTAATTTTCGAGCATGCGATCCTCATCCTCCAGGCCACTGTGAAGTTCCTCATTTCGGACTCCCCGGTGGATGTCACCAACATCGGACACTACAACGAGTATGTTAAGAAGACGATGAAAAAGAAGATGGCGAATGACATCTATCCTGCGCAAACTTCCTTGCGTCATGTCGATGTATCGCTTAACCCGGACAACATCGAAAGTGAGGCGGACAGCGACTCCTCCTGAGTGATGCTTCTAAACCAGCCTCGTTCCTGAACTTGAAGAGCTGTGTTTTCCCAGCTGTTCAATTAGATCTCTTGGCTTGTGTACGATGAATGCAGCTGGTACATATCAGTTCTCAGCCAAAGGTGTCTGAAATGGCTCTGTGTGCTGGCACGCCGCTCAACGATGCATTCCTGGCTAATGACAAGCTGATACGCGGAGAACGAAACGTGTGCGAGTGGGTGCCATGTGCCACTTACAGAGCTGCCCTGGTGGTCGATAAAGGTTCCCCGTTTGAGCCTAGCCAAAACTGCAGCTGCAGCTTGCAATGCTTCCCTCTACTTAGCAATCGACCGCACCACCGCGGCTCTGTGGCCCACGCTCAGCCTGCATCGCCCCGCCGGCGACAGGCAATTCAGGGCACTTCGGGAGTTGGGGACTTTGCCATGGTTGATCCCTGAAGACCTGAACGGCAGTCTTGGAAATTGGGATCGCGTTCTCATATCAAGACTTGTGCCAGCTCCATTTGCGAGCCTAACGCTGGTAGTCGTAGCAGATGTAAAGGCAAGACGAAATAGAAGGGCCAGTATTAGAGACTATGCCAGCGGAGACCCCAAACCGTGAAAGAGCACCTAGCAGTCGCACCACACGCCAGCGAGAGACCAACTGGCTGCACGGGACATGCACTACACTGTGGCAAGTCATACCCCAAACTATGAGCGGGACTGTGGCAGGAGCGGGCGGATGATGCACGGCACTGTGTTTGGGGAAGTGGAAGAATGGTGCTGGAGCACGATATCGGGCGCCCTTGAACGATGGGAAGTCGAGACAATACCAAGGAGCTTGCAGGACACGAGTAGTGCAGCTCTGCTAGGACTTCAGCAGCTTGGAACATCTTCAGAGCCCGACATTTACAGGGAATGTGGTTGGAGCACGACTGCCATCCCAGACCAAACACGACACAGTAGTGTGCGGGAACGGTCCCGCGCGAATACATATCGACAGGGTGAAGGTAAGAACGTCATGTGATGACACACTCTGGGCGAAATTAAAATTACTTATTATTCCAGCATTAGTATGAATATTACCACTGTTGGTGGTGGTAGTAGTATTAGAAGAGCAGTTGCAGCAGTGGTATGAGTAGCAGCAGCAACAGTTTTTGGCAGCAGCGGTCGCAGTAGCAGTAGCAGTAGCAGTAGCAGGAGCAGGAGCAGGAGCAGGAGCAGGAAGCAGGCAGTAGC